ATAATAATAATAATAATAATACACAAAGCAAGTGATGCACAGTTCAATTGGTCACCAGCTGCTGACCGATGCCCAGACAGTTCCCGAACAGCGATCGCTGCTCCCCGGCCAATCCCCCCAGTTTCTATACTGCCCATGACGCCGTATGGTATGGAATGGCCCTTGGGGCAGTTGGGATCCACTCTTCTGGCTGTGCCCATGGGAAGCTGACAAGTCCTTGACTAGCATAAGCAGTACTTAGCAACAACTAAACCATCAGTGTGTTATCAGCATTCTTCTCCTACTAAATCCAAAACACAGTACTATGCCTGCTACTAGGGAGAAAATTAACTCTATCCCAGCCGAAACCAGGACAATCCACTTGGTGGATGAAAAGCTGGACATGAGCCGGCAATGTGCACTTGCAGCCCAGAAAGCCAACCGCATCCTGGGCTGCATCAAAAGAAGCATGGCCAGCAGGTCGAGGGAGGTGATTCTGCCCCTCTACTCTGCTCTGGTGAGATCCCACCTGGAGTACTGCATCCAGCTCTGGAGCCCTCAGCACAGGGAAGACATGGACCTGGTGGAGCGGGTCCAGAGGAGGGCCACAAAAATGATGAGAGGGCTGGAGCCCCTCTCCTATGAGGAAAGGCTGAGAGAGTTGGGGTTGTTCAGCCTGGAGAAGGCTGCAGGGAGACATTATTGCAGCCTTTCAGTACGTAAAGGGGACCTATAGGAAGGATGGGTGCAATCTTTTTAGCAAGGTCTGTTGTGACAGGACAAGGAATAATGGATTTAAACTAAAGAAGAATAGATTTAGACTAGACATAAGAAATAAATTTTTTACAGTGAGGGTGGTGAAGCACTGGAACAGGTTGCCCAGAGAGGTAGTGGAGGCCCCATCCCTAGAAACATTCAAGGTCAGGTTGGACGGGGCTCTGAGCACCCTGATCTGGTTAAAGCTGTCCCTGCTCACTGCAGGGGTGTTGGGCTAGATGACCTCTAAAGTTCCCTTCCAATCTAAAGCATTCTATAATTCTACACATGCACAGCAGCTGTGTTTGTTCTGCCCGATTGTTTCTTTTTCAGATGGGGCAGGCACCTTTAACTCGTGACTGAAGCTGCGTAACCTGTCTCTGGGTTTTCCATCTCCCTCCTGCTAGAGTAGACTCGTACATATAACACAAACGTGAAGTTTGTGGAAGGGACTGGTACCTGAGCAGAGAATAAAACAAATATTACCAATATTGTAGTAGCATTGGTGCTTAAAATTAGTGGTATCTCAATATTGCAGTGTTTAGAATTCTGGTACTGTCATGGTATTAATATATTACTCATCGCTTTCACCTTGCTTTGAAAGTGGTCCTATTGGGTCTTCTTATGTTCCAGAAAAATGTTCTTTCTATGGATTTTTGCAATACTGTACTATTACAACCTGTTATTGAGCTTCCAGTTAGTTTACATGAATTAGGATTTTTCTCCTAAATACAGTGGTAAACAAGAATGATAGTTTTCCGAGAAATGTGTGAAATACAGTTACTTTTAGAAATGCTTTGGATTTTTTTAATATTGGAGCGGTAATAAATTCCAGCAAAAATAATGAATAACAATTGATTATTAGGCAATGATGGGAAAAGAGAAAGTTAACAAGATAGAACTTAGAGTTTTTATTAAATCGTATGTCTTTCTATTATTGATACAGTAGTTTAGAATTTTTTTCTTTTGGTGTTTGTTCATTACATGTTTATGGTTTCTTTTGAAAGAAGGTTGTTCGCTTGTTTGCATTATTATAGGCACTAAGAAGAAAAAACTGACTGTAAAGAATATTTTCTGCTGCAAACAGAAGCTTTTAAATACAATTGTGGCGTTAAGTTTCAAAAGACTGGTTTTATTACTGCCTGATTTAAAATAAAATTAATAGCATATTTTCCGTGTGTGCATATTGATGTAAATAAGCCATACCTAAAGAAGTGGCAAAAATAGTTACATACTTAAATCGTGTTCTTTTCTGTCTTTGACAGGATGAGTTCCACTCCCGATTGCGATTTAATCGAAGAGGACTTGTTGCTATGGCAAATGCTGGGCCCCACGATAACGGGAGTCAATTTTTCTTTACGTTGGGTCGTGCAGATGAACTTAATAACAAGCACACAATCTTTGGAAAGGTCTGCTACACGGACTAGAGTCCCTGTTTGAGTTTGACTGAAGATACTATAAATTTCTCTGTATTCAGAGGTGTTTGTGTATAGTGTTGTTTGCTGCTACATACATTTGAAATTTATTTCACTGCTTTCTAAGCTGTCTCCGTTCTCTTTGTTTCCCATGTCTGGTAGAAATGTTTCTATGGGTTGTTTCCATAATTATCTACTTGCTGTTATTCTTCTAAATTATATTTTTGTGTTGTGCTTTCTTTGAATAATCTTACTAATATTATTATGATTCTAGCTTATTATTCGGTTCATCTAATACTGGTCATGTTTTAGAAAATTCTGTTTGTAAATTCTAATTATCCAAGAAGAATCAGGAGAATCAAAAAACATAAGATGAATTTAGCACTTTCATGATTTACTTGAAAGAAAATAAACCAACTACTTTTTCATTTCACAGTGTCTTTTATTTTCCTGTTTCACAGCTCACTAAGAATTTGACATCTTACCCCGCATACGCTCTCAAAAATGCAGGTTTAGCTACCTGTATTCCTTCAACTTATGCTGTTAAATTGAAAAAAACCACAAACCTTTGTGCATTGTACTTGCTGTCTTTTAGAAATCTTACATGCTTACAGTATTTCCTGTATCATTTGTATTTTCAAAATTGCTTTTTGCAAATTTGCAAATTGCATTTTGCAGAATAATTAACAAAAATTATAGGCAACGACTTTCAAACCTTTTTTATGAATTTGACAGGTTACAGGGGATACAATATATAATATGTTGCGCCTGGCTGAAGTAGAAGTTGACAAGGAAGAGAGACCTCTCAGTCCACACAAAATAAGAAGTAGTGAGGTGAGTCATTTGAAATTTGAATTTTTAAAATTCTTTTGTTCATAGTGTTCAGAAAACTCTAGTATGAAAACTTGGCATGTCTTTTTAGATATTGTTTTAAAATATTGAATCATTTGATTATAACAAAATACTTATTGAAGATGTGTCTAAAATACTACTTTTTTAACAGGTTTTGTTTAATCCTTTTGATGACATTGTTCCAAGACCAAATAGAAAACTGAAGAAGGACAAACCAGAAGAAGAAACTAAGAAGTCCAAAGTAAAAGGCACAAAGTAAATATGTACAACATAAGTGGTGGTTAATTTTCTTTCACCTTTAATTTGCAGCTTGGTAATTTTCTGTTTCTGCTTTTGAAACACAAGGCTTTACCAAAATGCACAGAGGAATGGTCTCTAGTCTTAGCAAAACCTACTTCCCTGTTTCTGAAGAGATCATGCAAATGTAGTTGCTCTGAGTGAAGTGTGCATCTGCTGAGCTGTAACTGTTTTGTGGACTCTGATAGTTTGTTACAAAAGAGAGGTAAAGGGTAGCTTAAGGCTTAAGCCTTTCCCATGGGCAAGAATATGCACTCATTCTTTTGTGACTGAGATAACAATGAAGTTAATACGTACTAGTAAGTAGGTCATAGCTCAGTTCTTTGAGGTTTTTGAACTTATTTCATCAGCTACCACTTCTCTCTCACTAAAATACTTAGCCAAAGGCAGGCATTTTGACATGGGAAATTTCAGTTTCTGTGAATGAAATTTGGTAGTCATAAACACGTGATGAAAAGTAATAGGAAAGCTAAAGTGTGTGTATGCTGTCAGTTCTGTTGGACAGAAATACAACATGTTGTGACTGACTGGTTCCAACATAGTGTAAACAATTAATTTTGGGGAAAAAAAAATTAAAGATCTTTATTTCTTTTCATTACATTATGTGAATGTATGTGTATTTGATGCCTTTCTGAGCTGTCATTCTTGAAAATTTTGAGTTTGGTACTTGAATGTTGCTCTGTTGGAAAAAAAAATTGGAAAAAATGCAACTGCTCTGTTTTCAGAGCTGTCAGCATTTAAGAGTCTGTGAAAGTTAGTCAAGGCAGAATTTTTTAAATTCCATTTTGCCATTTTCTAAGTGATGTTTAGCTATCCTGATTGTTTCGTCTCAGGAATAGAATAGAACATGCTTCTCTAAATATTCATGGTTTATTGCAAAACACCATGTTGTAGTTGTTTGAAATTAGCAGGACAAAAAGTTTTTTTAAAAATTGCATACAATATGAAGGTAATATGTTTAAATTTCATGGAATGTTAATAAGATGGTATTTAAAATTTTATTAGAAAATGGGTTTTCTCTTTTAAAGAAATTTTAACCTGCTTTCCTTTGGGGAAGAAGCTGAAGAAGAAGAGGAGGAAGTCAATAGAGTTAGTCAGGTACTGTACCAAATCATTCCCATTTTTCTTTTCAACTTAAAACTACCTTTTTTGCATGTTTGTGGAAAGCTTTGAAGTTCTTCATGTTGTTCTTATGTTTGAGTTTTGAACAATATTACTAGAAATTACTTCAGTTTTTATCATTCTACTATTTTAACATGTTGAAAAAACAGGTGTTTAACTTTTCTAACTTTGAAGGTGCCTTCAGTTACTGTGTGATACTTTTACATTTCCATAAACATAAACTTTCATACTTCATAGGGTAGATCTGTGTGTGCTGTCTAAAACTCATGGAGTTGATAGGTACTTTATTCTTCTTCACTTCTTTAATTATAATAGTGTGATTTGATGGTAAAATACTTGAGGTTTGAAATAGATCAACGTGTTTGTTGCCAATGCATTCTTAGTTCCATTTTCTTATGTATATCCATTCTGTGTGCAAAATGAAGTGTCGTTATTGCAGGGAAAACGGTGCATTATCATAATTAAATATTGCACTATTGTGAATTGTCCACAATCACAGAACTAGGGTTGCATCTTTGATCTAACGTTTCCTTATATGACTTTGCCACTTAAATAAGGTTAGCTTAAAAATTTCTTTAACAAGTTGTCATTCTCATTTCTACTGCTGACCAAATTATTTCTCTAGAGCCCTAGGCTTTCTTATTTATTTGTATGATTCAGGTACCTAACTGCTTCAGTTAGTGATCAGACTACATGGTTCTGAGTCCTTTACCACATAAGCGAAACAACGGTCCTCAGTCCTCAGGATTTAGTTAAAATACAGAAGACAGCAGTCAATACTGATGGACAGTATTACAGTGAGATGGTATCAGTTGGGTTGATAGGAGGGGTTTATCACAACAGTAATTTTAACTATTTTTCTTTCTTGTTTCAACTTACCAGTCAAACTAATGTACTTGTTTACCTTAACATGCTCATCTGCAGTTCTGCTCTTGGTATGTGTCTGTTTTTTAATATTGTATGTAACTTGTTTGCTTTGATGTTCTTCCCTTTCAGGCCAAATATTTGCTTTTCAGTTTAAAGTGATCTAAACAGAACACCTCTTTCATGACAAGCCCAGTTTCAGTGTTGTCATGCTGTCTTCAACTCAGTCTTAAAATCTCATCCTCATGTTTGTCCTGATTAAATTCTGGCTAGCTGTAGCTGGGAAAATAACCAAATCAACTGTTTATGAAGAATTTCTATTCATTCTTTACAACAGAATGAAACCTTTTTTCCCAAACGTCACAGCTTGTTTCTAATAGGTCTAGATTAGTATCTCTATAGTTCTCGATTAAGTTGAACTATGTGAACCTCAGCACCAACCTTCATTCGCTGTTTTCAATAAGAAAAATTGAAGGTCAAAGTTAATAATACGATTCTTTGACATCTGCAAATTCAGAATCCTTCTGTAAACCTTTTTTTGGTTGCTAGATGCAGTAGGCCTTGCTTGTTTGAATGTAAGAAAGGTATACCTTTAAGGACTGAGGTTGAGAGGAAAGTCTGCAAGTGACTGAGGAACCCTCTAACAGATCTGGGAAAAAGGAACATTTTCTATTAATTTTTAGTGCAGTGAGGCTGAGGCTAAAATTATTTAAAGAGTAAATGAAAACACCATGTATCAGGATGAAATTTTTACAGTATTTAATGGTTTCATGTTTACATGTGAAAAATAAGAATTCTTGTCTTAGTCACATCATATTAACCAAGTAAGTACTGAATTTAAGAATACCTCCCTAAGTCTTTTTTCCATCTTCCCCATTATGAACAATTTTCTACTCTGGACTTGTTCAGCTGGCACTACACTTAGTCTAAGTGAAGGAATATATTTTGTCTTTGCCACAATGCATCACCAGACTCTTGTTCCTGAGACGGTATAAGGAAGGGCAAGAAGGATAACTGGGGATATGGATCATCATAACTTTAAAATAAAAAAGAAGAGGGTGCGAGGGAGGGAAAGATGAGAATGACTGTTCCCTACTTCTTACAATATGAAAGTTGAGACACAAATATAAATGAACAAATAAATATGCAAAGAAAAAGTATTTTTCCCTCTTGGAATTTGCATTGTGAACATTTATGCCACAGAACATGATTTAAGTGTGAAGTATAAATACTTTCAAAAAGAGATTAACAAGGGATTAGGGCCATTGGTGTCTTTTAAATGTTACAGGTCAAATTGTGTTGTCTTTATCAGGAGAGTCTTTAAATGGTTATATTACAGAAAGTATGAATCTTAGAAAGAAAATTTGCGTACCCCAGGAGGTTATAGAAAGCCGAGATCACAGGATTAGGGAAGTTTGTGTCAAGGAGTGGCAAGAGCAGAATGGCTGCATGAGGCAGGGCTGGTGAGGAGGCAAGAGTGATTCCAGCACAGGCAGTGCTTCCGCTCACCAACAGGGGCACAATCCAAATACAGCAGGCAGAGTTGGTTGCTGCTAACAGGGGCCATCAGCAGTCCTGAACACTGCAACTAGTAACGAAGACCAGGGTCCCCATCCAGAGAGTCCAGTCAGGAGCAGCAAGAGATGGGACAGGAGACAGGGCTGGAGACAAGTCTACAATGTGGGTCCAACAGGCCTATCCAGAAGATGGGGTCAGATGCAGATACACCTCTGACATAGCTCAGGTGGTGAGTGGAATCTCAGGCCTGAGCTGAAATGGTGCTCATGTGCATAGGAGCTCCAGGTAAAACTCCTCAAGGCCTCTAAGGCTATTAGTGCATTCGGAGACCTGACAGTGGGACTTCCACTGGTGGTTGATTAGTGTTTAAACTGAAGCTTTCAGTGTCCAAACTGTGCATTTAATTGTCTGTACTTGTTTGGAGCAGTTTACAAAGGTGATAAGCACTTGTCTTATGTTTCATCTAGCTCCTGAACACACAGAAAAATTACTTGTTGAAGGAAGTAATTTTTCATGTTGCTGAATGTTAGTCTTTTTCTCTATGTAATAAAAAATTGAAGTTGTGTTTAAATGAGTAAGATTTTATTATCCACACAACTACTGTCTTCCTGAAAGGATTATAAAATGATGTAATGGAGACATTCAGGTCACAATACAGACTGTTTCTGTTACAGAGATTTTCAGTCTGATTTCAGTCTGAAATTTAAGTATACTTTTTGGATCAGCATGGGGAATGTTTTCTTACTGCAGTCTTTCTGCCCAAAGATCTTATGTGTTGTTAGATTTATTTGACTGCTTCCTTCAGTAGACAATTCTTGCATGATGTATTGCAGGTTTCTAATTCCCCCCCCCCGGGTCTAACTAGTGTTCTACCAATTGATAAGTACTGCTCTGTACATAGTAGTTCTTTGAGTTGTCATATGCCATTATTGAAAAGTCAAGTTCTTACCTCTTCATTCATTCAAGAGTATATGTGGTAGACCATGTATCTTTGCGATGTGTAATGGTTGTGATGATTACACAATCTTTTTTTTCTTCCTCTTTCCTTTAAAATCAAGTGCAGTGCTATTACAAAAATACTTTTTAAATCCATGGGGGTCAGTTTGATGCTCCGCTTTCTGGAACACCTTCTCTGTTCTTCTGCTATTAAAAGTGTTTATGCTTACTGGTTAGGCTAAAGCTAACAAGAAGCAAGTTACCTTTTTCTTACCATTATCCTTTTTCACCATCTATTTTCTCAAACACTGAAATTTATAATAGCTTTTTTCTTTTTTTTTTTTTTTTTTTTAACAGAGCATGAAGGGGAAAAGTAAAAGTAGTCATGATCTACTGAAGGATGATCCACATCTAAGTTCAGTTCCTGCTGTCAAAAGGTTAGTATGTGATTTCCAGTTTCCAGAACAGATTACTTTCAAGATGTTAGACCTGATTAGCATCACATATACTTGTTGTTTGCCTGTAACTCTTTAAGAAATTCAGAATGGCAATGCTGGTTCGGACAAAATGTTCCTCTAACCCACTATGCTGTCACCAGCATTGGCCATCAGTGGATACCCAGTGAAGAATAAAAGCAGGGTAAACACAATGTTTACCTGAGTAGTCTCCCAGCCTCCATCTACTTTCAGCTCAGGGGACTGTCAGAGTTTGATGTAGTTTGTCTATTTAGTAATACTTAATAGAGCTCTCGTCAAAGTACTTATTCAGTCTCTTGTAATATTGTTTACATTTACACCCTCCTGTCTGCTGCAGGAAGAAGTATCTCCTCTTTTTGTACTGAATCTGGCTGCTACTGGCATCATTTGATAAATTCTAACTCTCATGCTGGAAGAGACAGTGAGGAGACAGTCCCTTTATACCTCTCTTTAGCACAATCCCTTCATAGGCCATCTCTTTTCTAACCTAAACTTTTAAAGCCTACTCAACTTTTCTTCACGCAGAAGTTGTTCTGCACATGTAGTTATTCTTGTTGTTCTTCCCAGCCCTGGTTCTGTTCTAGAATACTTTTTTTTTTCCCCAAAATCTAAACAACATATTAAAAATGAAGTGAATCATAAATCTGTACGCTTGTGTAAAGATGGTCTCTGTTTTATTCTCTATTTCTTTTTAATACTTCTTAACTTATGGTTTGCTTTTTTAACCACTGTTGAGCTGAGAAAATTGCACGAAAATATATCAACTCCAAGAATTTGCTTAGCATAGAATCATTTAATAGTTTGGGGTTAGAAGGGACCATTAAAGGTCATCTAGCCCAACCCCCCTGCAATGAGCAGGGACATCTTCAACTAGATCAGGTTGCTCAGAGCCCCGTCCAACCTGACCTGGAGTGTTTCCAGGGATGGGACCTCCACTACCTCTCTGGGAAACATGTTCCCATGTTCCACCACCCTCATTGTAAAAAATGTCTGCCTTGTATCTAGTCTGAATCTACCTTCTTTTAGTTTAAAACCATTACGCCCCTGTCCTATTGCTAAAGGCCCTACTAAAAAGTCTGTCCCCATCTTTCTTTTAAGCCCCCTTGAAGTACTGAAAGGCCGCAATAAGGTCTCCTTGCAGCCTTCTCTTCTCCAGGCTGAACAACCCCAACTCTTTCAGCCTTTCCTTACAGGAGAGGTGTTCCATCCTGCTGATCATTTTTGTGGCCCTCCTCTGGACCCGCTCCACCAGGTCCATGTCTTCCCTGTGCTGAGGGCTCCAGAGCTGGATGCGGTACTCCAGATGAGGTCTCACCAGAGCAGAGTAGAGGGGCAGAATCATCTCCCTCAGCCTGCTGGCCATGCTTCTTTTGATGCAGCCCAGGATATGGTTGGCTTTCTGGGCTGTGAGCGCACATTGCCGAGTCATGTCCAGCTTTTCATTCACCAGTACCCCCAAGTCCTCCTCCGCAGGGCTGCTCTCAATCCCTTCATCCCCCGGCCTGTGTTGGTATCGGGGGTTGCCCTGTCCCAGGTGCAGGACCTTGCACTTGGCCTTGTTGAACGTCCTGAGGTTCACATGGGCCCACTTCTCAAGCTTCTCCAGGTCCCTCTGGATGGCGTCCCATTCCTCAGGTGTGTCATCTGCACCACTCAGCTTGGTGTCATCTGCAAACTTGCTGAAGGTGCACTTGATCCCCCTGTCTGTGTCACTGATGAAGATATTAAACAGTACTAGTCCCATTACAGACCCCTGAGGGACACATCATGATCAATGATGGTCACCTGCGATGACCTTGTTCTGTATGTGGGACTCCTTTTCCTCATTTGCATAGCTTTACTTTTATCTGCTTCACATTTCATATATCATTTTATTGTCTCATCATTGAGGTCCTTCTGCAATTCTTCAACCTACTCTTGGCTTTACTACCCTGAGTAACTCAGTGTTATCAAAAAACTCAGTGACCTGGCTATATGCCTGCTTTGTTACTGAGCTCACTGAACAGCTCAAGCCCCAACACAGACTACTGAGCCTGTACAGTAGTGATCTTCATCCACTGCAAGAAGTGATTTTTTGCTTCTAACTTTTGTTTCTTGTCTTTTAACAATCTATTTGTTCATGCATGGACTTTCCCATCACCCCAGGACTGCTTAGTTTCCTTAAAAACCTTTGGTTAGAGATTCTGTGTGGGTCCAAATGTATCAGAGATATCATCCACAACCACGTCTACCCCTTCAAAACACTCCCTCCCAGAGGTTGTTATAGCTATGTCACAAATCCCAAGTAGGTCATTTTACTTCTTACTGTGGCTTCTACTTGCTCAGGACTGACATGAGAATTGCAGACCTAGATGCATTCTAAATATTTTCTTTAGTACTTATAAATGTTTGGGATTTTTTTTTTTATTAGAATCTTCTATTAAGAAATGTTTCCACAGAGAGTTTTCTGGATTAATTTTTTAAGTGAAATTATTGTCATTGATTCCAACAAATTTACGGTTTCTTTGATGACCTTGATTACTTATTGATGGTTTAGAGTGCACCTCAAAGCCTTGAACCCTGGGGACTCCTTTAATAATCCTTGCTTTGTTTCTCTAACATAACTTCTGTTTTAAAATGTGGGGTGGGAAAATCTTCCAAGGGTCTTTATTACTAGTTTGTGACAATTAACAGTGTATATGTTAGCCTTAGTATATTCAGATTGATTCTTTTTTTAATACATTAAACTGCAGCTGTGTAACAAACGAAAATTTTGATATTAAGCTTAATTATCAGTATAGTGAATGTTGAACATGCCTGTATAAAGAAGGCTTTCCAAAAATATAGACTATTTGCAATGAAATGCTAGAAATTGTTTGAAATATGACATCAAAAATGCCCATCTTAAGTGAGTTTTGTTGGTTTTTTTTCTTTTAACTGTATACATTAGTGTTTTGTCTGGATAGCTCAAGATATGGTTAGAGTTTATCCATTGTATGAAAGTCTGTGGTTTTATCCTGCATTTTTAAACATTTCTAATTAGAAAGGATTATGACAGTCCAATGATACAAAATACTATGAATTGATACTTTTAAGATGAATGTGAGGATGATACAAATGACTAGGTTGACTAAAATTTCAAGTAGCTAGCCAAACCAAATTTTTTATTTAAGAACTGGGGGTTTTGAACAGTATTTTAAATCTCCTTTGGTACTTCAAAGTAGTTACGATTACTTTTCTTCTTTTAGTGAAGCAGCAAGTGAAGAAAGGGATTTGAGTGAAGTAAGTAACATTTTTTTACAAATAAATCTTTGTTTTTTACTGTGTGTGAATTAGATTTTCTTAGGGGAACAAATGCTACTTCAGAGGTTTTTGAAAACTAACTAAAGTCAGGTTTCCGGCAAAAGCCTGGATGCCCTTTCAGAGCTCTAAGGATTGGCTATTGTGAATATTCACAGTAGGGTAGAGTTACTTCTGCATACTACCTACTGTATTTTAGGAAAACTGCTTACCAGATATTTTGGTCAGTATACTAGGTATATGGGAGGTTATGTACTACAGAATGACAACCCATTAATAAAAGCTCTGAAATTGCTTCTAAAAAGAAAGTTAAAATGAAGTTTTTCATAAATAGTGATGTAACTCCGATGTCTGGGGGGAAATCTGTGTATGAGTCAGAGTCCTGTTGGAAAGATTTCTTCAAGGAAACAAAATTTCAGTGAATATTTGTCACTTAAATTGTATTGATGAAGACCATCACCTCTGAAAGACAGGAAATCTGATTAACCAAGCAGTAACACACAACCAAACATGGAAGCTATTTTAATTACAAGGAGGTTGTCATCCATAGTGCAGAGTAAGGTTGCTAGCTGAAGTATGTCTTTGCCTCCAGCCATAGGTCATGGGGGTACACCTCTGAGTTGCTGTTGAGACAAAGTTGTAATATTTGACTAGGAATGTAATCTCCCATTCCCCAAACTGAATCCTGAAAAGTACTAATTTCTGTATCTATCCACCATGCACAGGTACTGCACTGTTGGTTGATGCACTGTGGAAATGAAGGAAACACATAATCTATCCCATTTTTGTGCCTAAAAAAAATGAAAAGTCGCTTCCACCCTGCTTCCTATTGTTTTTTCCACAAAGCATAGTACAAATTTGGGTTCTTGGACTCATCTCCTTTGTAATTTCTGCTGTGCGGGAGCATTTAAGTGTTAGAAAAGCTCTTAGAATGGTATTTAATTAATAATTCTTCACGTGTTCAAATAGCCCTTTAAGTGACCTACATTCGGGGAATATAGAACAGGGACATGTTAGGTATATTTATTTAATATGTTTATTCCAGCCTAATTAATCTGAATGCTGTTATAATAATGTCATGAAGTAGGAAATAGGAAGGCACTTTTTTTTTTTTCTGTAGATGCTCTCCTTAGATTTCATTTTGTTGAAAGATCTTAGCTAGAATCTAGCATTTCAGGCAGTTACCTGAGCCTTGTGAAGTGGTACTGTATTTTATCATCTCTCTTGGATTTACTTCAGTTAACACATCACAGGATCACTTTCGCATTTACATGGCTGCAACATGTTGGTAGTTTTTATAGTCATCCTACGAGCAAATAATTCTTCCAGATCTTCCTACATCCCCCAAATAACAAGTCCATAGCGCATAAGAGAAACTTGTTATTATTCCCTACGTGCCTGACTTTGCTGTTCATGCTATTGAGTATTGTCCTGTTTCTCTTACTGCAGTCCTCAAGGTCATACATTTCATGCTTTGAGAGTTGGATCGTTTGTATTAACAGTACCTCATTGCTATTTGTTAAACCTCTTTTTGTGCCTAAGTCATTAATGAAAACGTTACATGAAATGTGTTCACAAGACTGAAATTTTTTTTCCCCCCGCCAGTGACATTCGTCCATTTCCCCTTTCTGCACAACTGGTTTTCCTCTCCCTATTTGTCAGTTAGCTAGTACTAAACAGTAAGTTTTGTGTAGTAGTATGGATAGATAAAGCTTGGTATCTGCCCCCCAATTCAGTTATCTTCTCAAATGGCTAAATCGTGTTACGTACAGTAGCCATTAGTCATTCTGATACAAAATCTCTCATTACATTTTTATTTCCAAAGTGAAGAGAAGAATAGGGCAACTCCATCCAGCTAACAACAGCAGCAAAAACTACTACAGCTTTGAGGCAGGCAGCTTTGCATTTCTTTGTCACTAGGGGAACACCATCATCCAACTGAACAGCCGCTTCCCTCCTGAGTTGTCGTGTAGCCCACTCTGGGTGGAAATGCGTTAAATCTATTAGTTGGTAATAAGATTTCAGAAAAGTGAGTGTCTAAAAGATATGAGATCAGGTGGAGTTAATGAGGCAGAAGAGGGGCTAACAGAGGAGACTGGGTGGGAGAAAAGAGTAGAGTTGCAGGAGGGAAGGTGTTGAGGAGGAAGGTTATATCCTATTTTGTCAGTGTTTTTCTAGAAGAAAACTGGTGAAATCTTGTGCAGAGTGAGGGGAATGTTCAGGGAGTTCAGGGAGTAGGGGATTCAGCTGAGTTGGACAAGTTGAACCATTTTGTCTCTCCCATTTTAAAATACCATCCATGGAACACCCCTCCTGTTACTCAGATTTCTGTAATTTTTAATTAGCTTACTACTTAGCAATTGCAATTTGTCTAGAGTTGTTCATTTTTATTCTAGAAATTCTCCTATCCAACTCTTTGTGTTTCCATGAAATGCTCTGGCCTAAGCCCAAGCCAAATCTCCACCAGGAGTCTGTCTTTATCCTTGACTGTTAACCACCTTGAACACAGTCCTGTCACGTTCCTTTTCCAGATTTTGTCCTCTGCCATTGACGTCTGTTTTCATCCCATCTCCCTGATAGTTTATCAAGTAAGGAAATCCTTTGGGAAGTTTCATTATCTCCTCTGTCAAACAATAACTTTCCAGGAAATTAAGTGAAATGCTGATCCTGTTCCACTTTTCTCTTTGCCCTATTTAAAAGAACAGACAAAACCCCCACAACAACCTTTCAGTTATTTCATTGACAAGCTATTCAGCTATTTTACTGTGCTGAATATTCATGGATTTCATTTTTTATTCCTGACTGGTCTTCTCTTGTCTAAATCGAAAATCTAAACATGGCAGTCTGAAGATTCCTAAACGGTGACTCAGATACAACATCTGACATCCAGCTCTTGATTTTTCTCTTCTATTCCCAAAATTGTGCCTCTTGCTGCTTTTATTCTCCCTTCTCCCCCTCTATGTTTGTGGACGTGGTCTTCATCCTACTCTTCCTCCTACCTGTCAGTCACACCCAGGACATGTACATTGTCTTTAGAGTGTTCCTCTCCAAGTGCTGATGTTCTGGCAGTCTCCTGGCTACAGTACAGTCCTCTGGAATACCATTTCTAAGTCCGTCCTTTCTCTTTGTGTGGTTAAAATTACAATCACATAGCATCTTAGGCTTTTTCTTTAGCTGATTAGCGTCACTCCAAAATAAATATAAAAAGATGTGCCATCTAGTCTTTGAGCTGGCATCCTTCCATTAAGATTCACGCAGGCTTCCTTCTTCAAGGAAGGAAGTAGTCAAACTTGGATCCCTTGGTCTAGTCAGGTTGCTTCTTTATTACTGAGAGGAATGACTTATTTCTCCCTCCAAATGTCTTTGAACTAAGGTGGCTCATCCCTTTTTGCTTTCCTCTGATAGTACATCTGTAGCAAGGTGGGATGATTGGTTCCACAGGTTTTCACAGCCTCTTTTGATCAATGTGGTATTTGTAAATTCCCTCAGGGATACTGATGGGCAAACCTTTCCATCCCATCATGACTGTAGTATAGCCCTGTGGCAGGAAGTTCTTGATAAGTTTTGGTTTTCTTTTAGTGGAAAATGAAGGAAATGTTTAATGTGTTGCCATGATCAAATTCTGGATTCATGAACAGTGCCCAGATTAATACCACGTTACTGTGAGGTCTGCTACAGACCTGTAAGGATTTACAGTCTAGAATAGACTGGTTTCGTTTTTTAAACTCTATAAAAAAACGTAATTTGTGTATGAAAAAATACTTAATTCTCATATTTCTAATTTTTCATTCGCTCTGAAGCAAATAAAGAGGTATTTGTTTGGAAAGTTTGCTTTGAAATGAAGGTGGGGTGGTTTTTTTGGTAAGGGATGATCTTTGTAAGAAAAGCTTTCTATATTCAACACTCTGTAGTTAAAAACAAAAGCTAAAGGAGAAGTTTTATCATTTTAAATCAATAAAGGAGGAAGAAGAACATGATGAGGATGCTGATAGTGTAGAAGGTGAAGCTCCTAGCAATGACAGATTTCAAATAAAAGAACGCATTGCCAAGAAGTTGAAAATTGATACAAGTGAAAATGCTAAACAGCAACTGCAAGAGGAAGAAACTAAAACAGAAAAGAAAACAAGTAGTCGCAGGTAAGTATTGTGCCTTTTTTTTTTTTTCCCTTCAGCTTGTTTACAGTTAGATTTTCTGCTCAATTCCAGTTTTGCAGTTATTACATTGGTAGGTTAGTATTATGTTAGAATTATTCCCTCCTGCTTACCTCCAGCTGTGGAAGAAGGAATTGCCTATTGCTTTCTCATTTCTTAGTTTCATTTGGCAGTTTGAACCAAACAGTTAAGTTAGATTTTGTTACACTAGGCACTTACTGATACCTTATACATAAGTTTTATTTTTCTCTACGAGTCACAAATGAAGAGTATTTATATGTATTTATCATGCTTTACTTTATCTTTCTACAGAGTTGTAAGACTGAGTTTTGTAGCTTCTTTATCTGTGATAACACATGGTGGTCATCCACCACTAAGACTTTACAGAAAGTAAAGGCTTCCTAGTTACGCATTGAAGTCTGGTTTAACGCAGTAGTCATTCTTACAGTGTACCAGTTTTTCAACACTGCAATTGGTTTTTAAATTCCATCTAGGGCTATTCTTAGAGGGTTGGAATATATTTATGGTTAGTAGTGTAACACTATTCAAATTACTAAACTAGCTCTAGACAAACTTTTATGTTTCTGCAGCAGTATTGAGCTCTTTACAGATATAAAAGCATGGGTTCCAGTCATGTAATATAGCTGTGCCAGCTTTCGTGAACACCTGTACTGATTAGCACTCAATTTTCAGTGAGTTAATTTGTTTTTTTGGAACCTTCTGTCTTGGCAGTCTTTCTTCCAGAGCTGGTGTGGAATTTCTGCATAATAGTATTTATATTGCATAAAAACATGCATCATGTATGCAAGTGATGTGTAGTGGACCTGATGCCAAGCTTACAAGGAATTATTGTCCAGTATTTCAAGAAATGTCGGCTCCAGAAGTTACTGAACAATTAAGTCTTTGCAGTTAGAAAGTTCAATGTGTAAATTTACTTATCCAGTGAAACTTACTGGAAAGCAGGGGGAGGAAGCATCAGAAAAGTAATTCAGATTTTGTGCTCTAACCCTGCACAGTTGTCCTAAATAACTGCCTGATGAAATTACTCAGGCTTTGCCTATACTAAATTCTGCATTTGTAGTGGTTGTCTTTAGATTCTCTCCCCCTACGTTTTCCTCTGAACTGAACCATTCCTCCTCTTTTTCTTTCCTCTTTTTTTTTTTTTTCTTCCCCTGTTTACCCTCACTGCAGATGTAGTTTTATATGTAATGGCCAGGGCATATGCCAACATGGAAGACTCCAGCATAGTCTGGTTTTTGACAAAAGAATACCTGGTAGTCAATATAAACTGTTTAGAACTTCCATAGCAATTACCATCCCTATTAATAACTGGGCAGTAAAAGCTTTGGGTCAAGACACATGAAGATAAACTTGTTGTAATAATAATACACTTCGAGATAAAATACATACTAAAACTTTGGTTGGAAAACAGAAGGAATAACTGAAACAAAATTAGTTGTTTTACAGTCATCAGAAATTCACATATGTGACTTGTACCCCTTGCAGGTTATTCTCATTTTATATGCCTATATATACCTGCTAAAAATAAAAACAACTATATCTTATTGAAGAAGGGGCTGTTGTCAGTTATGGTGGGCATGCAATCATTATGTTAATTGTAAAGCAAAACTAATTAAGAGAAAAGGGAATTCGCATCTTTATATTTGCAACTTGATGGGTATCAATCTGATTATTTTTACTGAAAGAATTTGATAGGATTTTAAAAGCAAGAGTAGTATGTTTTGAGCATTCCACGTGAGGCAGTATTTTTAACTCTGTGTGGCCTATATGTTTAGAAGCAGGCTGTGCTTTTAGAGTGGTAGGAACACTTGTGTTATTCTGGATAATTTTTTAATATTGGTATATTAAAATACACCAACTTTAAGTGTTGCTGTTTGTGTACCTTTTTTGGAGCAGTGAAAAGCCCAGTGAGAACATTGCAAGGAAAGTGATTTTTATTAACCACTTTAATAAGTTTGAGTAGCTTCCGAAAATAAAATTATATTCATGGGATTTAAGCAGGAAATCCAGTGTCCTTTTCTACATCTCCTCCAGTATTGATCTGAATCTGAGAAGCACACCAGGTATGGTACAGAAGCCTTTGTAATTTGAGCAAATCTAAGTAAGTTCTAGTCAGTTCTTCTTCAGGCCTAGATGATGTTACTTCCAAAGTTCCTTGTAATTTTGTGTTTGCTGAAGAGAACAGCCAATATGCTTAATAGCTGGAGATAAATAAGCAGGAGCATTTGACAGCAAAAATCCAGCACAATAACATAAAAGGTTATAGTAAACAAAATCTGTAATTTAAATGGGCATTAGTTTTTCCTGTCATGTGGTTTTACTTTTAGTTAGAGGCAAGGCAACTAACTTCCATGCTTTGGCAAACTTTATGTAGCCAACAAGACTTGTGTGGTCAGATCTGTAAACTGATGTTAATCCATTTCTTTTGGAACCGTACATGAATCTGATCTCTTTGTAGAACCATGTAGTGTTATGTACACCAGCACAAAACTCTATTTCATGAGCATTGGCTTTCTGGTTTTCATTCTTCTTCTTTAAGAGCACCTAAATCACAGTACGCGAAATTTAGTGCCATGTTTTCATGGCTGTACTAGATATAACTAGGTATGGTTTCAGAGGACATATACAAGACATCTTCTAAAAACGTATCCCCTGTTTTTCCTTTCTGCCATCTTTGAAGCTGTGCTGTGTGGCTGCTTTGGAAATTGGTGGCTGTACTGTCTCTACTGTAGACAGCTGGTCCACAGGAAGTATACTGAGGTCAAGGAGGATAATGGATAACTCAGATCCCAAAATCTGGTTACTAGTCCTACGTTTGAGATCAATGCGTAATCCCAGTGGTAAATTACATGAATATTTGTCTTGTGTCAGTTAAAATGGTTATATGTCAGTATGTGGGACAAGAGTACATGAGGTAGTTTTCTGTCTCAAATCTTGCAGAAACATTATGCTGAAGTAGTTTCCTGATTGCAGGAAGAAGTAATTCCTGGTTTTCAGTACTCTGCCTTCAGTGATTGATTAATCCTGCACCCTAATAATGTTTGTGATATTACCCGTAATATTCCTCAATACAGAATAAATATAAGCTTCTTGGAGTCAGTGAACTGTTCTTGATCATGGAGATTGGACAAATACAGATTAGTGTTAGGTAGCTGTATTGGATAGCGGAGGCGAGGATTCAGAAATTTAAAAGTTTGCCGAGAAAAGCTTGTTCTGAAACAGTACCTGCAAGTACATGGCAGTCAAATGACATCTTTAGACTAGCAAAAGACGTTGGACTCTGAACGTACTTGCTACCTACCTATCTGTCCAACAGCCTGTCCAACAACCAGTTTAACTGTTGGGTTTTACAGAGATGACTGCTGGAAACAAATTTGCCTCAGGTATAATAGCAAGTTTGTAGCATGAAGGGAACACGAAGGTAGAGCATACCCTTAGGAATGGTACACTCTCTGCCCAAGCTTGCATGACGTTTTATCGTGTTTTCAGAGACGCTTGTGTAGGCATTCTGTAAGCTGCTGGCTTTGCATGTGGACAGTCAATGTGCTGTGTTTGTGGTTGTTCTGCCTTTCAGGGCAGTAGCAGTAGTATTGTAGCCAAATGGGTTATCTTAATTCAGAAGAGGGCTTTATTGGATGCGTTTTTAGCAGTTGGGAGCCATAGGCTTGGCAGACACTGCTTAGTACCACAAGTAACATCAATTTCTAGACTTACTGTTTTCCAAATAATTGTCTGATATCCTCTGGCATGAAAATCAAAGGCATGGTATTGTTTGTAATAAATAAGATGTTATTAACATTGAGGTCTAATGAGATAAAGTAAGATAAACATCAAGTTTCATTGTCTGGAATAGTGACTTTTTTAATAAGTGTACTGGAGGTGATTGATAATATTCACATGGGACTTCACCACTCATTGTAATCCAAGTGTGTGTTGATCAGAGCAGGCAGAGATGTGGGAGGTGCAAATATCGTTCAAATATCAAACAAAAAGTTGGATCCACCATATATAACTTGAAGGGTAATGTCTACTAACTTATCAGAGGGCCAAGGAACAGCTGATATCTGTCAGAATTGTTCATCTCATCAGATAGCTAAATGTGCTAATAGAATAATGGAACTTCGAAAAATATTTTTTCAGAGTACTGTCTTTTAACATGTATGACTTTTTCTACAAATCTGTATTCATTTGTATTGGTTCTGTTTCTTTTAATACAAATCCATTTGTGAAATCAGAAGTTTGCACATCTGTTTCAGAGAAACAATATGCAAACAATAGACACCTTCTCAAATTCATGGCACTGAGATCCAATACCACTTCTAAATGCAATCATACTTGGAGTGCTCAAATGGTAAAGTTAATTTTAGTCATTTCAGTATGCATTTGAACCTTTTGTGTGTGTTTTAAAAAATAGTTTGAGACACTTTCCAGTTTTGTATTAGATAGGAAACCTCAGGAAAAAGAATTTCCCACTCATTCTGGCAAGTTGTTAGAGAAATTCCACAGGTCTGGTTTTTTTATTAGAAAGCTTAAACCTAAATTTCAAAGTATAGAACAGCTGTTTACATGAAGGAATGTATACAGATAGAAGTGTTTGCCGTCATTGCAATAGTAATCCAATTTATCAGTATTACATCGAGTTTGTAAAATGACAGTGGCTTGAGGTGATCACTTGAAGGCTTCGGAGTAAATGCTCCTCTGCTGGTTTGGTAATTAAAAATCTTGGGTTTATATTTGTTTTCATCCTGTAGGTGGAGCTCGGGTGCTACACATTTCTGGTTATCAGCTTTTAAATTTCACTGCTTCTTGTTTAAAAGACATGCAGTGTGGAAGCAGAGTACAGTTGACTGTACAATTTCAGTTGTGTCCTTATAATGGATGTGCTATTAAATAGCAATATGAAATAGGTGTCTAGAATAGCTAAACTACTGAGGAAGAAAAGCTGACACTTCTTTTTGAGTAGT